TTCATTCAGTTAAAATGAGCGTATCAAAAATACAACCAGTGAAAGATTTACCGTGTGATGAAATTCTCGTGAGATTACCACTTATTCGAGAGCTATTAACCGTAATTCACGGGAATGATGATAACAAGGAAATAAACGATTGTATCGAAAAGTTTTGTGAAGCACTTCACAAAGTAAATAATTTCTTTGACTTTACATTAAATAATTTTCTAAGGAAGTAATCTGAAAATTATCTGGAAAAAAGAAGTGATTTGTGCAATTCATTAAAATTTAGCAGTTCAATAGTTGCCAATAAATTGTTTTTAATGTACGCTGAATAGTAAAGTGTGAGAAAATGATTGCTAATTTGTTTTCGTGTTAATATTTTTGCAAAAAATTTTACGATACGATCATTTCTGCTTAAATTTACAGCAAATTCCACCTCAAACGGCATATATTTTTTTCAAACTATTCATTTTTTTCTCTTTCTTTTTTAGAGCTTTTTAGAAACTTTGAGTGGATTATTTAGGAAGAATTGGAAATAAATGCTGTATTGGATGAAGTAGAATTATGGCTTTGGTATTTCACTGGCCAATCGCAAACCGACAAAAGTGCCGATCGATGTCTTTCATTTTTTGTAAAATGTGGTTTAAGGATGCTTTTGGAGGATACAATTATTCCTCCACTTTTCACTCTTCTTTTGAAGCATATCGAAAATGTAAGGATAATATTTCCAATAACAGTGGAAAATACAAAGTAATATCAGTAATTGTAATGCAGTTTAAGTAGATTGATTGTAAAACAGTTCTAAATTAAACTGTTTTCAATATCTTCATTTATTTATTCGATGAATTTTGACAAATTTACGTGCAGAAATGTGAAAAGTTCGGTTAATGGCAACAAGATGCCTTTCCTCTTAAAATAAAACTAGAGAATTTGAGTTATGATAACTGATGATTTAATACTATTTCAGATTCAATTTTCAGTCTGCGATACCTCACGATATCGATGTTGTCGACTGATAACATCAATTTTTGAAGGTATTGAAGAAATAGAAACGGATTATGAACCTACAAGATGTAAGGAAGAAGGAAGTTTGCCGACAGAAGTGATGGATAATCTGATTAGAATCTTGCAGGGACGGATATATGATAAGGTAAAGTCATTTTTTTTTTGAAGTACTACAGAGCTAGGTAACTATGTTGTAGTGCACAGTGCGATGACAGGTATTATGACCTAGTCGAAGGACCAAGTTCATTCAGTTCCATTTACACTTTACAAAATGATTTTAAAATTTTTAGAATGCACAGAGTTTGCTTCTTTTATAACTAATTCAGAATCCGTTTGTACGGGCCGAAGTAATCCGATCATTGTCCATTTTGTACAGAATCAATGATAGAAATGACGATGAGAATGGATTTGATTACATTAAGTGTAAGTCAATTTTGTTTTATTTGATAAGCAGATGACAGGATAATTTCAGAAACTGATTTAATAATATCTGTTGAAATTTGAAGGGGAATTAAAAAAATTATAATATAGTGTTTACAACTAAGAATGTGGTACTTGAGATACAAACCAGATGATAAGGAGTTGGATAATACGAAAGACAAATGCTGAAAGAGTTATTGTTGCATCTACAAATAAAACCTATTAGAGAATGCTTCCATTAGTTTGTGGTTTTGATTTTTAAGATTCTGACATCAAACATCTGTGAATTGTGCAGAGGGCGTGTTTCTTCGATGATAGAAATATGCCTTTCTCAATAATATTTTTTGCGAAATCAAATTATTTCATTTTTGTTAAATGATTGCAAGTTCTCTTTTGTAAATTTACTTTCAGACATCGTTGACGCTTTAAAAGATATTTCACGTGATGTACGGATAGAGGCAGTTCATTGTGTACCGTTATTTACTGAAAGCGATATTTCAACATTTATTTCAATGATACTAATGGAAAATGATAGCAATGTTCGTCGCCTTGCCTTTAGCCGAATTGCATGCAATTTGCATGTGCGTTCACTTACTGTCCAACAACGAATGCAACTACTCAAAGCTGCATTTGCTAGCGATGATGGTAGTACTTTTTCGTTGATAACGATATTTTGAAACTTAATGCTTCAGATTTCTAATAAAATTAATGAATCTTCCAAGTAATGCTGCTTATTTTGCATTACTAAAACTGATATTCTTCTGCTTTATTTTTCTTTGTAAACTTGAGAAACGAGTTTTCAGCTATGTTACGAAAAATTACTGAACGAATGATTATGAATTGGGCTGGAAATGATATAGTACCATTACTTAATCTTTTACAACATCTCGATTTTCTCTCTGAATCACAGATAACCCAGCAAGTAAGCAGATAATTTTTCTGAAACTTTGTTGCACACTACCAACTTAGATTTTGTTCGTTAATAATTATTGTATGACTTATTGTAGCAATTTTAATCTTTTTCTAAGTGAATTTTTTCAAACTATAAGATTCTTTTAGTTGAGCTTCCAGGTGAAAAATTTGTTTTAAACAACAGAGATGGATTATCTCTTTTTCTCCTACCAACACTGTTTTGTCATTATCGCCTCAATTATAACTTTTTTGCTCAGTTAATTCATAAAACTTGCTTTTTGAGAAATATCATAAATCAGTAAATGAAGTGAAAATAAATTAGATGTATTCTGGAATTTATTCATTTCACTTTCAGATTTGCACTTTTTTTACAGGCTTTAATGATATTTCTCAAAAGTTATCAACGGGAAATAGGAAATGCACGAACCAGTGACATGTTAGTGAATCTACATAAGTTGTGCAATGCGGCACAGACTAAGTCAGTTCAAACAGGTGTGACGTCATATACCGATTTTGTGAACTATGATATACTTAATCGACGAAATTATACCGAACTACGCCACAGGTTTTGTTTCGCTTCTTTAATGGTTCAATGGGATTATAATGATAGTATTGACATTTTCTTTTTTAAATTTCATCGGTTATTAGTCGAATTGTTGGTTGACTGTCTTGTAAAAATGGTTGCGATTTAATTGGTTTTAATATGACATTGACATTGAAGCATGCGGGATTCAGTATTATATTAGCAAGAAATTGAAATGTCAAATTGTTTTTATTTGTAAATAGTTTAGCTGACTGTCAGCGAATGTTAAATGGAATAATTTGGAATGCTAAATCACTTTACATTAGAATCCATTGTAATTTTCACTTTAAAAAAGCAGTTTAGACCGTAGAAACAAAAGTAACTTATGGAAAACTAAATTACAACCCTACAGATACGACGTTATTTAGAAAACTATAATATTGCACCAAAATAAGAAACGACCAGTTTTTTTAGTTCCAACAACAATCTCTATGTGATAGCTGGTCGTATATATATTTGGCGAAGTTTATGTGAATATTGTCAGTTAAATGCTGCTGATGAAGCAGATCGCTGCGAATCTTTGCATGTTTTGCTTCCCGATATGATTGATTTCATTGATTTTCTTTACAAGTAAAGTGTCTATGATTCTTTTATAAAGAAAACCTCAAGCATATAAGTTGATATAGTTCCTTTAAATTCTCAAAAGTTAAAATTGGTTTAGAATGATTCTTTTAATTAAAATGATTTTGGGAAATTTTTTATAAGTTTTACAAATTTCGATTACTGTTTAGAAAGACTGCTTATGATTGCTTAGAAATATAGTTCAGTTTATCCATTTAATATTGTTAGACATGTTGCTTCATACTTTGTTTTTAAATTTTATGTTGCATTTAAACTCATAATTCTTGGTCATTATTGTCTTTGCTTACTTAGATCTTTTAGATGAAGTGTCTTTTTTATTTTGTTTATCAAACTTTATTAATACAATGATTGAATGGATAATTTCAGTAGCTTGGCTACATGGACGGCGTCTAGAGACTCCGTGCAAGGAGTTCTCGAAGAATGTATCATCTTCCAGTTGTGCTTACTAACACGGCTATTTGATCAGACGGAACAAGTTGGAATGTAAACTGAAACTTTATGTTTTGTGTTCATTGCTATTATTTTTTTACATTTATTCAGATACGTATTAATGCTTTATTATTGATAACTAATTGGTAAATTCAGGGAAAAGTGGCAAAACACATTGGAAACAATCATATCGACGCGAGATTTGCCAAATTCGGAAAAAGTATTGGAGTTCGCGGTGTATGAATTATTCGATTTATTCTATGCAAAGGAAGGAAAGTTGGAAGTTAGGATTGAAAGATTTTTTTAAACAAAACTTTTTTAAAAGTTTCAGAGTTTTAAAATACCATTCATATTGTCTTCACTTCTGTGAATTTCTATCAGCTCTTCTGTCATTCTTGATAGCTGTATTGATTTGACTTTTATTGACAAAAAACTGTTCATGTTGCCCTATTACATTATGACAAAATGAACAGTGATGAAAGTTAAAATAGTCCAAGAATATATCACTCATTATTTGCTAACCTGATTTTTCCAATCCAAAATTCTATCGATGTAATAGAGAAGTAATTTCTAATCTGAACTGCAGGAATTCCTTGAATGGTGTTGTTATCGTATAAACAGTTTTTTCACGCCTGATTTGAATGAAACTGAAGAACTGCCACTTACCAGAACTTTGCTGGCCAAACTTGGCGTGGATTATGCCATGTCGTGTGAAACTACCGAAGAAGTCACCAATTATGAGGTATAGCCACTAAATTTTAGGAGTTTTTCAGAGCTTATATAGCTCAATTAGATTTTCTTTTAAAATTCAGTGGCGAATAATGATGAAAGTTCATGAATAATTTTCCATTTTAGCCAAAAAGTCACAACATACAACGTGCTTTGCTGTTACTCCGTGCTATAATGCGAAATTCTTGTACTGCCAAAGTTACTACCTTCTTGCGAACTGCATTCGATCAAGTGGTTTGTTATCAGTGTCATTTTAATTCGATTATCAATTTCTCTTTTCACACTTCTTCATTCCCTTTTTTCCCATACATGAATTCTACTAAATGTCAATAATGATTTCGAGATTATTCTAAAGATATTTCATAAAATCACAGCCCTAAATTTCGTTGTTGTTTGCCTTCTTCATAATGTCTGCTGAAGATATGATTGGCTAAATGCATTAAATACTACAGAATCATTAATTACGAGTAGTATGTTTGTATTTACTTTTTATTGTAATGCTTGATGCAGTCAGCAGTGATAGTTCATGATCAATCAAAATTTCACAATAGCTGTTTATTTTGTCGAGATCATTTTTCAAAATCAGAATTAGAATCTTACAGGTGGATACGCACTGCACAACTCTGGATCCAATGATTTGGGCTTCCCTTTCTGAAGTAATTGGTATTGGTGTAGCAATTGATGGACAAATTGCTCGTGAACGAATTCATGTCTTACGTTCTGCTATTGAAGTAGAGGGAGCGCCTACACGTGTTAAGGTTCTAGCTAAATCAATATTCCAAAAAAAAAATCGTGGTGTCCTGATAGGATGAGAAGTTATAGCGTATATAGTATAAATACAATCTTAATTCGTGTAAGTTCAAGATAAAAAGCGTAAAAAAAACCTCATTTTCCAGTGAATTAATTCAATCAATTATAACTACTCAGCTAAAACATTCACAAGCTTAATAAAATGCAGGCGTTGGCTCTTACATCCATAGCTGCATGCGCGATTTTGAGAAGTTATGCAGCAACTGCTAAGTTGTATTATCCGGAAATTTTAGACAGTGGTGTTAAAAAGGGACAAATGCTTCTACAAGTTTTTGAAGGATTTATATTCAATGAGGTGAACTGAAATTTATGTAAAAATTGAAAATTAACATTGAGAATTAGCATTCTGCATATTTTTTCCTGAAATCTATTTTTATGTAAAAGTAAACTGGTTGCAGCTTAAGCTTTTAAAAGGATGGAATAGTGTGTAATTTTCCTTTATAAATTCAGGTACAATAATTTATAAGATAACTCTAAAATATATAATGCTGTACAAATGGACTTAAACAGATCGAAGAAAATATCCTTATTTGAAGTTAGCACACTTGTAGTTTTGTCAGAGCATTTTAGGATAAAAAGTGGAAGAACTCATGTGTAATCACTTGTATACAATATCGGAAGACATCGAAAGTAAGTTTGCTTTTTTGTAGGATGCCGAACTTTCTTTTGCGGCCGTTGAAAGTATTGGTAAAATACTGTATCACGGATGCTTGTGTTTCCCATCTGCGTTGGCCGGCTTACTTCTACGATATTTTGATAGCTCATGTCAACCATATCCATATACTTTCCTGAATTATTTCTTCAGTTTCTATCCCGCATCAAATAGGCAAAAACTTTTTTCTTTTGAAAGTCGAAAATTCTCTTCAACTTTATTTCATTTATTTTTCCTTTTTACATTTACGTATTTTTTGACTGAGTTTCTTTTTATTTTGATAACTACCAGCAAATTTCTTTTTCCTTTAAATACTACCAACTTTATTTTTGTTTGAAAATATTTTTACATTAATTCAAACCATTTCGGGAAATATAGTAATGCAATAATCTATCAGTGATAATTGTCACTACAGTAATATTAAGAGTGTTGAACGACGAGTAGGAACCAACTTTGCAAAGGTAATTGATAAAAACACTAAGCAAACTTCAAGGTGTTATTTCTATTACAGCATCAATCAGCATAAGCTAATCGGTGCATTGAGGCATGCTCTAAAAGCATTAGACGAAGCGCAATATGGTGGGACACTCTTAACTAATATTGATGTAAGCAGAATGATCAAATTTGTGGCTAAAGCAGTTAAAAAATCAACACTTTCAAACTCCACTAAGAAACAGAAATTAGAACAGGTAGGAAAGGCTGTTCAGGAAGGAAGAAGTAATGTTGATGTTATATTTATATATAAAATTTGAAGTTCTATGTTGCTTCCAGTAAGATTAAATTACTGAAGAAGTTTTGTGAAAAAAAAACATAAAGAATGTTTAAATTTAGTTATACACGGACTAGATTAATGATTAATAATTTTGAAATCATTTGGTTACCATTTTATTTTACTATTTTGAATATAAACAATTGCATGAATTATTGCAAGCTTTGTAATGAATAAAACAGTTTCTGCATAATTGTATATTTTAACTATAACGATTCAAGTTTTTTTTTTTACTAGTTACAATAATAGTTATACAATTTTAGACGTATCCTCCGCAATTCTTTCTGATCAGTTGTTTGCTGGATTGGGTTATCAATAATGCCGAAAGTAATTTGAGTGCAGCATGTGTAAGCGCTCTCGCACATACTTCACCGGAAGAATTTAGTCATAACAGCAAAGCGTATTCTCATCTACTCAAACTGACCGCTCAATGTATTAATGTAATATCTGCAAAAATTTTGTTTGTATAATTTTTACTGTATATGGCCTTGTCAGTTATTTATTTATTGTTATTTTCTTTTTTTTTCAAATTAATAGAATAGGTAATTAAGAACAATATCTGTTTTATTAACTCTCTCAGAATTTTTTTTATTTTTTCTAAAATCAAAGTTTCAAAAATTTTCAAACATTTCTGACTTCTTTCAGGTATTATTTACACTTGAACTTGACAAACTGATACCGATAACTCGACGATTTGAAAGACGGCTTAAGCATAAGGAAGGAAATGAAAATAAAAAGTAATCATTTAATTAAACAAGAACTATATAATTACTGGCAATTTCTAACTTAGCTGAGAAAAATTCTGATTGAGAAAAACATTTAAATCACAACAATAAATTAACATTTGCTAATAAACTGGAATTCTGCTTATCGACTATACTTTTCTTTTTACTTATTCTCATATAACTCTCCTTCATCTTTGCTTCACCATTAATTTATGCATTTTTATCTAATCCATTCCCTTCATTCTATTATATGGTCAGCAGAGCTGCTTTTGTTTACTTACCTTTTCATCTCTTGAGTCATCGCGATAATTATTTCTTCGCAGTAAGTTATTCGTTTACCAAGTTATTTTCGAGTGAACCTTTTCTTCACTTAACTTCTATCAATATCAATTATTATTTATTGCGTTTTCTCTTCTCGTCATCCTGCGCTAATTGCTCTTTGATAGCAAGAGCTGCGAAGCAAATTATCAACATTCGGCCACGGTTTTTAGTGAATTTGAGACAAGATACCTTTGCTATCTCTTTTCCCTTTATGTTTAGACATCAAAACTTTTTTCCACGAAAGGTTCCCTTTTTGGGAGAAAAAGAGATAGCTGTGAGTTTTTAGGTTTAAGATGCTTTCTAGAACAAGTGGAATGTGAATTACGGAGTCTTTGATGGTATGCTGTGGCAACAAATTTTGCAAGTAATTCAGATGATATATTACATGTGATAAAGTCACATAAGCATCTTTTACCACAAATTTCTGTACTGAAATTTTTGGGAGCATCTCAAAGAGCTAAAATTGACAAGCTGAACAATCAACTGATTGGGAATGATTGATTAATATCGAGATTCTAGCAACTTATTTCGGTGATTCAAGCTGTTAGTGAAAGAATACCTAATCTTTCTCCGTAAACTACGCATACTTCATAATAACACAATTTTCTTCATAGAAAAGCTCGCTAATTTATAATTTATACATTCTTCATTTAAAAAACTTACATAGTTATTTATTTTATAATTGCAATATTTTATTGATTAAAACCATCTCCACTAATTTCATCTTCCAACAGTTAGAAAAACTATCTTATTTGCTACAAGAATTGTCCTTTCAGGTTAGAATCGATATTCGATAGGAATCCTTTGATAAGTTATGGAGATTGATTTTTCATAAAAGCTGTATCGTGTCGACTTTGAACGGTTTATCTTTCATGATAATTTTTGAACTCTATTATTTGACTATTTTAATTCATCATCGTTTTACCATATATTTATTATTTGTTGGTGATTTTATTATTTTTGTTCCGTTATTTATTTTCTAAGGCTTTTGTCTGATTCAATTTTAAAAAACTTTTGATAATTTGTTTTGCGACTAAAAACTTATGTAAAAAATTGAGAGGTTAAAAGTTTCAGATATTTTTAGTAGTTTATCACCTTTCAGCATAACTTTTGGACTGTATTGTTTGATTATTTTGATTTTCAGTTTGTTTATTCATCAGTTATTTGTTGACGGTTTCATTCATTTGTTCTTGTTTCTTTATTTTTTTTTCATTTATTTATTTATTTTAAGGTCTTTATCTGATTCAATTTTAAAAAGGTTTTGATAGTCGAAAAAACATGCAAAATATTTTTGATTCCATTTTCATACTATCAAAAAACAAAAAGTATGGAAATAGCTTGATTACATTACTCTACATGTAATCACACTTCATTGTCATACTGTTTGATGCTATGATAGTGTAATGGTAATCATCACTGTCAACCATAGTTTTTTTTTTTTTTGCTTGTGCTATATAATGTTAAAAGTTCGAAGAAATTTTGAGACGACATCTTAATTCAACAACTAAAATAATGTCTCATGAGAATATGAAAAACTTGATGTGTGACAATGCATCATCAACAAAAAGGCATTCATATATAGCTTGCTATAAGTTATTGAAAATTCAATTTTTATTTTTTTTCCTCATTCACATAATCGTTAGATGATTAAAGAAATTAGTTTTCTCTCTAGCAAACTTGATATAAAATCTGGTCTATCCTTGTAATAATGAATGTTGTATTGGCTAATTTTCAGTTGAATATTTTATTCTTAATGATATATCATTAAAATAGAGAATAGGAAACATGCGCACCGAAACGTTAAATAAAGCTGGAACTATTAGATGAATAGCGCTGATGGAGCAGTATCGAATATCTCTGTATGTATTTCTTAAGTAAATGAGTAAATAAATGAGTAAATTAGAAGTCTCTGTATGTATTTCTTAAGTAAATGAGTAAATATATTATTCTTTTAATAGCATGATTCATTACGGTTGGTAAATTTTTAATGTTGTAAAAGTTATTAAGTTATCACGGAGTGCTGTAAGCAAGTTAAATGCAAGAAATGATAGTTTGATTTAATTTAGTTTCAACATTTACATTCTAGCAATAAGTTCCTGTTGTTAAATGCAGTTAAAAAGTATATTTGTTACTGATAAGAATGATGAAATGATAATAATGAAGGAATGTTTAACAATTATTGCTAAAGTTAGATTAAATCTATTTGGTTTTCAAAATTTATGTTACATCGCAAAATGAAGCTAACATAATTAGCATTTGAAGAAAAAATAGGAGAAAAAAAAGGAAAGCTTTTGTGAAATGAAAAATGAAGAGAGTATAGGATGAAGAAGTTAGTTTTATATTATATAGATATCATATTTTGATATGTTAAATCAAGCATATGTTATAATTGTGCCCTTATTTCTATCACCGTTATCATTGTTATCATTATTTACCAATATGCATCAATACTACCGTAAGAATTTTCAAAAACATAAACATAGATATTACAATTATCATAATCAATTTTATTATTGACATCACTAGTAATCGTTACTATTGCTATTAAATGATAAGCAATATTTTTTCATAACAATTATAACTGTCATTTATCGCTCATTTATCATTCAAACAAATAATCAATAAGCAAATTTAATTGGTAATATTTTATTTGAAAAGAGAAAGTAACAAATCATCAATTAATACTTGAAAAAGAAAATGACAAAAAGCTAAATTCTATTTAAATGATGAAAAGAAAAAGGATATGGGAGCGAAATTTGCAAAGCGTATATAAGATGGATTAAATACTGCAAATCATAGATTATCTTTTTCTTCCTCTTCCTCTCTCTCTCTCTCTCTCTCTCTCTCTCCCTCCCTCCCTGTTTCTCTCTCAATTCTACTCTTTTATAGGAAAGGAAAAAAAAAGTTCGATAGGTATACGCAGCTTCAAATAAATATTTCAAAATACTCAATACTCTCTCTCTCTCTCTCTCTCTCTCTCTCTCTTTATTTCTGTCTTCCTTCATCTTTTGATATTTTCTTCCTTTACTTTCTTCTATTCTTTATTCTTTTTATTCAATTGAAAAATATTTAGGAATGGAAATGAATGTGATAATGACGCTTCTATGATGATATTCACTTTTCACGCTTATTCTAACAAATCGATATCATCGGTTTGACGAAATATACGTAAAATCTATTATAATTCATTTTCAATCATATTTATCCGAATATTACACCTCTTTCATCATTATCCTCAAAATATCAAATTGCTCTCATACACATATATAATATATATTTTCTCATCACATATATATCACACACACCCACACACACACACACACCCACACACACATACCCACGCACACACACACACGCTCACACAACACACCCACACACACACACACACTCACACACACACCTACACACACACACACACACACACGCTCACACACACACCCGCACACACACACACACACACATATATATATATATACATTCGTTATTTTATCATCTATTGCTTTTATGACTTAAGCCAAGGCTTCATCTCATTTTTCTCCTTTATCCTCACACCCATTTTCATTCCACCTTATTGCATCGTTGCAGAATTACTTTTCTCATTTCATATAAGGTATATACTTACCCTTTTTTTTTTCATTTATTTCAAGAAACATAGATGTTATAAGTTTAATGGATTGCAATTGTAATTTCCCGATATTTCCCTTGATTATTTTCTCGAGTTAAATAAAGCAAAAAGTAAAATGAGAAAAAATGTAATCCGAGAAGTTAGATTTAGATTGATAGTAGTAGAATCTAATAAAAAATTAAATTAGACTGATGTATGAAGAAGTTGAAGTTTGAAAAATCATATAAGTAATTGATTAATTTGAAGAAAAGAAAAGAGAGTGAAAAATGTCTTTAATGCTTTATAGCTAAAATTTATACATTCTTATTTTTGAATAAATTTATTTATTGTAAAGTTGACGATAATGCTAAAATGCAAAGTGCATTTTAGAGTTTATTTTGCTTGGCTCATTAAATGTTTCATTTTCTATCCATTTTTTTTTTCTCGTTTCTCCTTTTTACAAATAGTCTTTTTTTTTTTTATTGAAATAAGTTCTTTTCGGTTTTAATTTCATTGAATTTCCTTTTTCCATTTTCTCCAAGTGCTATACCATTGGAAAGCCTTTTTTAATCCACGTTTCTTTTAATCCACCTTTCTTTCTTTTGTGAGTCGAAATAAATGTTTTTGAAAGTAACAAAAACTTAATGTCAATTTATTATAAGATGAATATAAGTTTCAATGAAAAATTTTTGAGTGAGTGAAAAAAATAGTGACGATGAGGAAGGGAAAAAGAAAAACAGGAAAGCGAGGTGAGGAATTGCGGTAGTGGAAGGAGAACGGAATAAGGAATTGCGGTAGTGGAAGGAGAACGGAATAAGGAATTGCGGTAGTGGAAGGAGAACGGAATAAGGAATTGCGGTAGTGGAAGGAGAGCGGAATAAGGAATTACGGCAACGGAATAAGAGGAAAGATGTCCACAAAATGATCATCGAATGTATCAATCAGTACTAATTTTGCAGATAATTTTTCTTTCACAACTAAAAATTTTGAGATGAATTCTGTTTCTTTTTTTTTTGACTAAGCATATGATTAGCACAGTTGATGAAATTAGATGTAGAAAACGTGTTTTTTTCTTTACAGCATAACTGAAATTGGACGTGGAAAATTGTGTTTTTTTTGCAGTAAGTAATGTTAAGTAATTTTCCGTTTGTATTCATAATACAAAAAAAAAAAAACAGAATAAAGAATTACATAGGAAATTTAAAAAAAAGAAAACGAAATCTTTCATCACTTTTCAACTATTTTCAATTTTCTTATTGACTCTTTACGTTGCGCTAGAATTACAAAGTAGATATTCATTTCAACATCAAGAAATGTTAAGCTATTAATTAAGCATTTACAAATTTCAAAGTAATTTTCACTACCCTTTTTTTTAATTAAAACTTTTTGCCGCTCGTTATTGTGATCTTTTCTTTAGGGAAACTATTCAAGAAACAAACTTCATTTATTCGATAATTTGTACTATCCCTTAACTAAATCCGCTATAAGTTGTGAATTTAACTGAAATTAAAAATTATAAACTTCAAAATTATATTCAAACAGTGAACGAAAAAGAAAAAGGAAAAAATATTGAATCGAATAAGAAAGAAAAGATAAAATGTGCCTTAAATTTGCAAGACTTTTTAATGAACAAGTTCAGGAATTATTCAAATAATCCATGGAAAATTAAATGAAATTCGGAAGCGTCAAGTATTTACATGCACCATTTAAAATTCTTTATCAAATTTAATACATTTTACATTTCTTCAAGCTATAATCTTCTTTTTCTAATCTTCCTAACATGTTTATTATTATTATTATTATTATTTTGTCGTAAAATGTATTTGAATACATTTGAAATTGCCAACAATTATTTTATCTCAAATATTCTTTTAAAAGAAGATAGAAAAGTATGAAAATTTCTTTCAAAATTTTACTTTTGTTCTCTTGCTTCTTTTACAAGTGTTAATGTCGGTGGGCTGTTTATTTCGAGCATTTCAAAAATCTCTCAGAAAAATTTATGATGAAAAAAAAAAAAGAGGAATGGAAGAAAGAGAGCTGTATGATGAGAACCAATTGCATTAGGCAATCAATACTTTTTAGTGTTTATTTGCTAGCATTTTGCAAAATAAAATTGAAAATGATCTCAGGTTTTTACGAATTTAAATGTCTTTTTGAATAATCCACTGAAATTGTAAATCTTTTTTTTTTATCTTTTGCGCTTTTTTTTTCAATGCGAAATAGTTGAAACGACATTGAAGAGGAAAAGGGAGGTGAAAAGGGAAAAGATAAATTTCGTTTAATTTTTCATTTTATAATAAAGTTGTCTCCGAATAGAGTCTAATAAGCAAAAATTACATTATTGAAAAAAGGGAGAAAGAGAGAGAAAGTGAAAGAATAATTGTTATTCGAGAGACATTTATAGTCTAAAATGTCACAAATGTTTGTTTTTGGATATCGGCAAATAAGTTTAGTTATTTGAAATATTTTATACAACAATTAGTTGTTTTGAAAATTTATGCTCCTAAAATGATTTTCTAATAATTGTTTCTCCCATACATTTATATATAATGAATTTTCAAATTTCATTCAATTTTAATAGCTCTAACTGAACACTTGATTTAACGCTCAAATTACATTTAACGAACATTTTAAATTAAAATTTGATGAAAGAGCGGAAAATATATTTACTGAAATGACGTATACAGATGAGATAAGCGATAAGGAATGATAAATTATAAAAATTATTTCTAACACAAATTATTAAAATTAGAAAAAATCAGTGAATATTTTATTTTAAAAAAAAAAAAATCTTTACTTTCTACTCTCTTCAAAGGTAACGGTTTATTGGAGTTTCCAATTAATCTAACAAAAACCTAAGCCATTTCGTATTTTTCACATATTAACTAATTTACCACAGTGTATAATTCAATTTTGACTTTTATAAAAAAGAAAGTATGAAAATGATTTGAATTGGATGGGTTTTATACATTTACGTCCGATTAAATCATTGCTTCTTCACTACGATATGCTTAATTTCTTATGAAAAATTTAGAAATTGAAATGAGAAAAAATAATTTTTTTTAGGTTGTAATTTAAAATACTTTTGATGGCCTATTTTCGGATGGCGAAATTTATCGTAAATTTATGTCTGTAGTACTGCCATATGGACAGTAGTCAATCTGAAGATATATGGTGTCGCAGTACCGCTCGAGCATTGGATATTTTCAATCGACGTGGTTCACTTCTTGCTGTCGCACTTGGTGGTTAGTATTTTGCATAAATACCGTTTCAGTTATTATATATAATATTAACATATACAGTAATGATATTAAATATACAGTAATGTTAGATATACGATAACAGTAACAACACATTAGTTACCGTATACTACATATAGTTACATTACTCACTGCTTTAAATAGCTTCATGTAATTCCTAATAATTTAATGTAATACTTAATAATCATGTAATACCTAATAGTCTAATAATTTACTTAATGAGTAATCCGAATATCCACTGTTTAATGATAGGAAAGGAAGTAAATATCATCATACAAAGCGATCAATTCATAATAAAGATTAAAAACTATAGGAGTTTGTTGCGCTACGAAATGGTAAAGTCGAAATTATTAGAAGAATTTTATCATTTTTATAATATGCGCTCTTCTTCCTTGATTTTATTGAAAGTCAATTGCGCAATCGCGATTTATTTTAATAATTTTTTTTTTTTATAGAATTTACTTCGAACAGTTTATTTTACGGTGCAAATTTATCACTTTTTTTTTCAGGGGTTAACAGTGAAGCAATTGCATCGTTACCTACTTATAATTCATCAAAAATTACCATATCTGCTCCTAATTCATCCAATTATCAAAATGTTAGTAACGGCAACAGTGGTCGTAGTGGTATCTCAACGATGACATCCTGTAAGTTCATTTTTATCATTGTTCAAGAAATTTTTTTTTTTTTAAATTTTCCACTTTTTTTATTATTATCGAAATGTAGTTGTTTGATTATAGCTTCGATATTCCGCTATACAAAAATTTTACTAATTCTATCATTAAAATCTCATAGGTATTTACATTCACGAGCATTACCCTCTAATCTTGGAATTAGCTCTTATCTGACAATGTTTAAATGGAAGAAATTTGTCCTCATACTTTATCATCTAAAAGATTCTCAAAAATGTACCTTACTTCGATCTGATTTCAATTTTCAACAAAGAAACACTTGAACATTTTGCAGGCCCTACACATGGCCTTGCAACAACATCAGCATTAACGCCTTCCGGTTCTATTCAGACTAATGTGTCGTTATCACAGTTTGATTCTCATCCTACTTATGATTCCGATAGTAGTTCACAAATTGCTCCCGAACGTATAAGGTATTTTTAATCCATTATAGAACATTCTTGATATCCTAAAATCTTCTGGCGACTTTTCAATGAGATTTATAGATATCATCTTTTTTTGGAACTTCTTTAGTCGAGTATAAATACAAATAAGCAACAGTCAGAATACTTTTAAATTATCTTTTTTTTGAGAAAGCTTTTTAAGAATTTCAACTATCAATCTTGCGAGAATTATCAATTTTGCAAAAATTTTACAAATTATAGCGAATGGCGACCATGCTTTCCACGTCTCTGTGCTCACCATGATTGTGTAAGCTTAGCATCAGCTTGGGGTCTTGGTCCACCAACAACATCTCTCGAGCCTCGTCCAACTGGAGCATCCCAGGCTCAGAGTCCATGTGAAGATGACATGGGTGATGGTAAATCTAATGATTTATTGGCAAATTGTCCAGCTTTCAGGTGATTTCATCCTTCTTTTAAAAAATGAAATAAATTTGATTTTGTCAGTATCAAAAATTTTCGCTTTTCCAAATTAAGATCACTTTAATAGTTTTTTTTTCCAATTTTTTAGAAATGAATTAGGTGGTGAACCAATTCGTCGCCTAGCTCTTTCACGTCGCTTTAATGCTGTTTCAACTGATGAATTGAGAAGAAATCGGAATGAAACATGGCAACGAGAACATACAGCATCTGAAATCGGTATTCTGGAAGATGTTAGCAATGTTTACCTTGGTGGCAGGTAATATTATTTTTATTCATCACTTCCCCAAGTTAATCTATTTGTTAAAGTTGTTGACTATGAACGCTTTAAAACGACCCAATCCTGTTCATTTTAATGTAAGCTAAAATGTGCTAAATAAATCATTCCTAAGATCATTTTAACCTTTAAGTCGTTGAGAAAAAAATAATATCATATTCATTTGCGACCACAAAGGACTGACGCAATGGGATTTGAGAAATGAAAATGAACTGGCAATGAATTAAGGAATGAATGGCTAAATAATTAAAATATATATCATAAAGGATATATCATAATTTTTTTGAAAGGAAATATATTGGAAAATATAATAATAACCTTTTTACATTATTGTTTAGTTAAAAATCTATTAAAATTAATTAAATTAAAAAGAAAGCATTTTACATATGTGTGTACAAGTGAGATATTGCAAGTTTCGGAAGTTTTGCTTAATTAAATATAAACATAAAATGCATTTTAAAAAGTAGGTTGAAATGAGATGGAAACTATTATGTATTTAACAATATTAAAAGTTGACTATTATTTGAAAAATTAGAAAATGAAGGGCAATAATTTACATTCTTTCTGAAATGAAAAAAAATGGATGAAATAGCACGACTTATATAGAATGGATGAAAGTTGCAGGAACACAGCAAAATTAATTCATTGCAAATGCAAATTGGTGAAATGAAAAATTAAATTACTGAAAAATTTCTTTCTCGCTTTTTTCTTCTTTAAATCCTTATTTCTTTGAAGTAGGAATGAAAATAACATTACATTTTGCATCGTTATTAGGAACCACTTTTTTTTCAGATTATGCGCAGCACGTCAACAAAAAGTTGTCATTGAACCTCAGGATATTGGCGCTTACTATTATCGACATTGTTTTCTTGGACGTCGTAAATTTTCTTTGCTTCTTCAATTTAGATGACTTGTATTTGTTGTCGAAGATTTAAACTTTTGATAATTTCAAATATTTTTATAATTTTGATAAATTCTTCGTAAATTTAAAAATATTTAGCTCATTGGAATTTTTTTGGTACTGATGAAACATACGGTCCAATTGCTGTTTCGGTAGTTCGTGAACGTATTGAAAGCGGTGTTCAGAATGTTACCATTTATCGGATGATTATTCGGCTTAGTGATGTATTTCTCTTTTTTGTTTGAACATTTACCAAAAAACAAATGAATTCATTAGCAGAAAACCCACGCAAATGCGGTGTTTCAGTTTAAAAGTAGCAAAATTCCTTTTCTGCCCAATTGATTTTACATAATGATGTTTTGAAATGACAAGTATATCAACAGATTATTTATCAGGAAATCTATCTCGCGGAATTTTGTAGTCATTAATTATAGAATTGATTGCATTTTATCATTTAATCATATTGTTATTAGCAATAAATGTAGAATTTTTTAAGCTTTGTACGCTACGAGTTGCAATACCGGAAGAAGTTATTTCGGAAAATAATGCTGATCAAAAAAATACTCGATCACTGATAAAAGAATTATTGGAAATTGCTTGTCCACAAATACACTACGGAATTCTTCGTCCAGTTAATCCATCGTGTACACGAGTGGAAGATTTTCTTGTGAAAATTGATGAACAGGTTTGCTCAACAAATTTCTTATATGTGTTTCAAAATGTAAATTTTATTCTTTTTGAAAGAGAATACTTCGAAAGAATTGCAATAAGGATTTTTGTTATTGCAAATTCAAATAAATTACACCTAATTTTGCTGCAAAAAATTTAATTATCTTTCAGTTATTTTGAAAACAAATGGTAGTTTTGAATTAATTTTATGATAAAGAACCGAATTATATAATTTTAGCCAATTTATACGCGATATAAAGTTGGCGTAATGTATTGCGGTGTTAGTCAATCCACTGAAGAGCAAATGTATAATAATGGTATCTTTTCCTTTTCGTTACTTTACAGTTTCAAGTCAAAGTTAATTTAGCATTTGTATATAATTGTAGGCTTATTTTTCATTTGTTATTTCGAGTTTTGAGGAAATTTGTTAAAATATTTCAAAACTCTAACTAAATGAATAAATTTGCCAGATCTACACATAATTTAAAATTAAAAATGAAAAGGCAGGGAATTTTGTAACAGAAGATTTCAAGTTATTGTCTATCCAAATAGCTGCTTATTCAAGTTTATATCTTTCTTTGTATATTTGCAATTTAAATTTTTAAATATTTTGGTTATTTCTATTTAAATGTTACTACTTATTTGTCAAGGCATTATCAAAATTAATTGGGAGTTTTAGTATTAAATCTCTTCACTTACTAAAATTAATGTCTGCTCATTATTCTTTTGAAGATTCTTAGAGTCTAATCTAATCATAAATAATCCAGTCACAGACTGGTTATACGATGTTCCATACAAATATTAATGAATTAATTGCCAAAATTAAATCTAATTTCAGAAAATGGATCTCCTGCTTTCGAGGAATTTTTAGACTTTCTTGGGCAACGTGTACGGCTGAAAGGTTTTGATCAATATAAGGGTGGTCTTGACGTACGTGGTGATACAACGGGTACACATTCGATATATGTCAAATATCAGGCACACGAAATAATGTTCCATGTATCAACACTTCTTCCTTTTACTCCAAGTAACAAACAACAGGTAATCATTATACATTTATACTATAAACTAATAGCTTAAGCATTCCTTTATTTCTTATAAATGATTAATTTGAGCAATATTTTTGTTCTCATCTGTTAAATTCTCTGTTAATTTTTTTCAGTTAGCTCGAAAAAGACATATTGGTAATGATATGGTTACTGTAATATTTCAAGAACCTGGTGCTCTTCCTTTCAGTCCAATTACTGTTCGTTCACATTTCCAACATGTTTTCATTATTGTACGAGCTAATAATCCATGCACTGATGACGTAACTTATAGGTATGAATTATTTAGTTTCGTTTGAATTCCGTTTAGAGAAGCACATTTATGAATCAATTATAGGATTGGACTTAAATATTGGATATAAATTGCTTTATTATAATATACTACTTTTTTATTACAATATCATGGATTGATATATTAATAGTAATGTATTGTTATGCATAATTTTTGCAGTATTGCTGTGTCGCGAGCAAAAGATGTTCCAGCATTTGGACCTGCTGTACCCCAAGGAGCAACATTTCCAAAATCCTCCGAATTTCATGATTTTTTCATTACAAAAAGTAAGTATAATATGGCATACAGTGAGCATTTAATTTCTTTTTTTTAATTCAGAATACATTTTTCTGCTTGCAAATGGAAATAGGATAAAAATGCTTCTCTTATCATCTAACTTTTTTCTTCGAAAAGTATTGAATTCTTTTGAAACTAACCAATTGGGTAAGATAGCTGGTTAGTCTTTATTCAGGAAAATTATAAATACCAAAAAAAGGCAATATTTTGCTTTTTTTAGTAATAAATGCTGAAAATGCGGTGCATCGTTCGAAAAAATTCGCAGCAATGGCAGCACGTACACGTCGCGAAGCATTGAAAGAAGTCGCAGAAAATTTTGCCTCAGCTCATCCAAATGATGGACCTGCAAAAATTGCAAGTAAGTTTATTTTTTTTTTTCATTTTTTTTCGTTATTGTAAATGTAAATTATTTTTATCTAATAAAATGAAATTTTATGATTATTTCAGGTCGATTTTTGGTTGGATCAGTGAAACGAAAAGAGCGCTCATTACCACGGCCAGTTTTAAGTGAATCATTACATGGAGCACTTTCATGGCTTGTTGAAGTTCATGATCATTCACAGAATCAATCGATCACATGTGTTCTTGGTTTATCCAGTGAAACTTTGGCTATTTTAGAAATGCCAAGTGGTGAAGTTATTTGTGCGATACCCACACATTCTATCATTGGTTGGGCTAATATGGATTCAGGGTATATTCTAAATTTTTTTTTTTACTTTTTTTGCTCTTTTTATAAGTTATTTTGCTTTTCTCAACTTATTGTGCATAAAATTACAAATATTCTTCAAATTGGCTTTTTTTTCTATCACATTTACTTTACATTTTAATTGATGGTTTTTCTCCTATTTTTTATAATTAAATAAAATAGATTTCCCATTATTTCTAAACGTACTTGAAAATTGACTAATGAGTCAAAAATAAATTGCAAGTAAAAATTTGAAAACATATCTTGGTATTCATAACATACGTAAACATCGTAGGTGATTTTTTTAAGCATTTCAAATTGAATTTAAAATTTTCATTCTTTAAGGCAAAAATATTAATGCTAAAGGTGGATTATTGTATGATATATTTTTGGTAATCCTGCTATTTGCAATTATTCTTCTAAAAAAAGTCATAATTCTTTTTTCAGATTGAAAATTTACTTTGATCATGGCGATATGCTACTTTTGAGGTGTTGTACAGCTGATAATAGTGATCGAGAATTAACTGCATTGATACGACGTTTGGAATGTGTTACGAAAGGTAGCGAAAAAAAATTTTGTAATAATTTTAAAAGTTTTTGATTTAATGAAATTAATTAACTTTTTGATCTACTTCTAATTACTTTGAATTCAGATCGATTATATTTTTAAAATGTACTCTCTCTCTCTCTCTCTTCTTTACCTCCCACCTTTCCCTCTTATCCTAAAAGTTCTCTCCTTTCTGTTTTCCAGTAAGATAAATCAAAAATAACTGAAATGTTTTCTAAGCATCATTTAAGGAATAGTGGTTTAATGTCCTCGATAATATCGTACATCACTAATTTGAGAAATGACGGTCTAACATTTTACATGATAGCTTTATTAACTTCAGAGATGATAGTCTAACTTTTTTCCGGATACTTTTCATATTGATTGTTAAAGGTGATGAAGCTAAGGAAGTATTACATCGACGTGTACGTGCTTCCGATAGTTTGGGCTTTCATGTACAAGAAGAAGGTGTTGTTACCGATGTGGAAATGTATCATACAGCATGGCGCTGTGGCCTTCGACAAGGATCACGTGTTGTTGAGGTTAGAAATATTTTAAATTTTAATTAAGATTTAAATCAATTGCTAAAAAAATGTAAGCAAAAAATCATTTCCTTTTATAATTGATATTAAATAATTACTGATAAATCCATAAAAACTTTTATAAATGCCTTGAAATTTGCAACCTTTTTTTGATACTTTCTCCTTATAAATTCTTTGTGACCTTTTTTTGATGAAAATTATTTTTTTCTTTAAAAAAACTTTTTTCCTAATATTAAATTTTTAATTTTATCATCAATTAATTAGTTTCTTCCTTTATTAAATGGCTATTTTAAAGAATTTTTTTTAATAGAATGCAAATTATAGATTGAAGGTAAACCAATTGTTACAATGAGTTATAATGAAATTTGTGATCTATTGGCACACCGTACCGCACTTCGATTAATTATGATTTCACCAGCATCAGATGGTTCACCTCGTAGAGGTTGTGCTGATCCACATTGTCCTGCCGTAAGCGGTGATGAGCGATTGCTACTTATGCCTGATACATTTGCAAAACGAAACATGAGGTAAAAATTTTTACACTTACCTTTTTGAAATCACTGTATGTTGTGAATTTAAATTATACATAGCTAGCTTTGCAAGATTTTGCTAATCAATTTTTTAGCAGACAAATTTATTATGAAAAAGTTAATTCATAAAAATTCTTATCCCTACCTATTTGCTCTATCCAGAATTTATTTTCTTTGAGTTACTAATTAGCAGTTATGTTAATTGGTTAATGGATATTATAAATTAGGGAGCTGAAATGTTAGGAATTTTATTGTTGCTTTTCAAAAGATTCATGAATATATTAACTGAATCATATTATTAGTAGCTAATAAATTTAAATAAATTTTTTGTTATAATTAATTTTCCAGCTATCTTAGTAGCTTCAAAACTGAACAACTTCGTACATTCAATCATTGGGATAAAAATAGAAAGCAATCAAATAGTTTTGAAGATGAATCAGTTGCAAAGAATAGGCATGGTGCTGTAAGTATTTTAACAGTTTATTGTTGAAATATATATTTTAATTATTATTCTTTGCTCACGCTTAATCCTTTTGAGCCAGTTCAAAATTACTTTCTCTAATTTTCGAAATTGAAAACATGAAGGAATGTCTTCAACTTGTTACTGATTGATGATTAATGGGAGTTAATTGGTTATCACAAAATAGAAACTCATTGAAATTATCATGAAGCTAAGTTCGTATTATTTAAATTTCAATTTTAATTTTTTCTCCTGCATTAAATCATACATTTTAAACTTAAACATTCATTCTTTTCCTAAGTCTTTTTTTACTCTGGGACGATAAATTAACTTGTGCACTTTTTTAGACTATTTCCATAATTAATATTGGTTTCAGTTATTCATTTAAATTTTTAATAATCGATACACTTATTTTAAAATGATTTTTTCTTTTTTTGCAGATGAGAAATCTTGCACCCTATGAAAGGCTTAGTTATATACGCTGTGAAAGACCTGCAAAGACTGAGTATGTTTTTTCGAAATTTCTCTATTACAGAATAAATTTTTATGTTATCTGACAAATAAAATTAAATTTATGTTTTAAATTCTAAAAAAAAAAAACAATCTCCAAAGGATGAAATCAACGGAAGAGATTGTTAAATTTTTACAGCAGAAGATTATAAGAAATTCAGCTCACACTTTCATACTTATAGCAAATTTGTTAAACAAATTTATTTGCATATAACATTTCAGGCTTGTCAAATGGAAAACGTTGAGTAATTGCCTGTATGAATCCATTTATAAAGTACAGGTAGTTTGTATTGAATATTTTGATAACTAATTTCGAAAATCTTCAATCAACCAATTATTATTTAACTATTTTCTAGAATATTTTCGATTTTTTGACAAAATTCGCTTTTAATTTTCTTTCGAACAATTTAAATGTTAAATATATTTGTCGATATTTAATTTGAAAAAGAAAAAGGAAGAAAATTTACGAGGATTTTTTCTTCATTGAATGGTGAAAAATTGGTTTATTTTCCTATCCAAAATGACATGATGGTGGTGCTGTCAAAAGAATTATTTAAAAAAAAAAAAATGAAAGGAACTGAATCATAATTTTTTTCAGGGCCGAATGTTGCGTGTCCGTTCTGAAGATTCATTAGTTTCATCCATAGAAAATAGCTATAATACCTATTCGGTAAAACTTGTTTTTTTAATGAAATCTTCAATAGCGACGATTTTTATTGAAGACTTATTAAAATATTGGTTTTCAATAAGTTATTAAAGACTAATATTTCGATAAGCCTAACTTGAGTAAAGAAATTTGCAGTATATTTTTGATTAAAAATAATAGTATTTCATTCAAAGTATTGTCTTGTTTCGCTTTGTTTTTCTTTTTCTTTCATAGAATGTTTTTACTGTTCAGGATTTCTCGGTCGATACAATAAATTTAAAATAGAGTTTAAATTTAGCGAAAGATAGTTTAAAAGAATTAAAAATTTAAATTTTTTATAATGAGAAGTTTGCAGGCGGTGCATCTCTTTTGATATTTAACGATGGTGTATAAAGGAAATTATATCATATTTGAATTAGATAGATTAAAAATTTTTATCTATCAACTAAAAAAATTTTTTTTTATTCCAGAAATCCAAAAGCGATGCTTATGATCGTAGTATCAATCTTATATCGAAAACAGAGGAATCTAGAAAATTAGCTGCAAAAAACAATGCTGAATTGGAAAACAGTAAAATACAGTTGCAAAAAACATTGCGGGAAAAACAGGCTTTAGAAGCTATGGTTTCACGTTTGAAAGAAGAGCTTACAAAAGTAAGTTGACAGTCTTCACTTAATTAATTTGGCATAATTTGTTTAACTCTCACTCATTTTCTTTGTGCTGTTTTTAAGAACTGATATTGATTCACGATATTTCATATATTAATGCATTCTCTATCTCATCAACGATCATTTAATTAGGAATAACCAAAGTTGGATTTATTGCTCTGACGTTTAAATTAAAATGATTAAGTGAGGTTGCTTGAATCATCTTGATGGAGTTTGAAAAATTGAAAAATTAAATCCGAGAAAAATTTTAAATTAAGAAAAATTTGCGAATTATTTTTAAATTCCATCAAAAAATTTTTCCGGCTAATTCAGTCGAAAAAAAAAACGTTTATAAATTATAGGAGCGACGCGCACATGAAATGACGAAACTTGAATTGCAAAAATTGCAAAAATATTTTGAAATGCTACCAAATGTGTCGCTATAATTCCTTCATCAATGAGGTGTAATAAATGCAGTGATATGGTAAATGTGTGATATATTCTTATCATTATGCCCTCATATTTATCACAGATCTATCTGTCTTTACGCATGGTCTCCTTTGTTGAAATCTATTTTTTTCTTTTTTACAAATGTTTTTATCATTCAAATTTTCAAAATCTAAAAATTTTAAATTTTTCAACAGAGATTTGCAAATGCTTATGTTAATTTAATCTTGAATTTATGTTTGCGTTAAAATCATTTGATTTTTGAATTTTAGAATTTAAATTTTGAAAGTAAAGAAAATCAATTTTCTTTTTGGTATTATAGTAGTATATTTTCAAAATTCTAGTAAATTGAAAAAATTTGTTAGTTTTTATAATTTATAATTCTCCATTTATAACTATGTCGTCTTTTAAAATGATCCCAGCATATCTATGATTTTATTTAATTGTAATATTTGAATATCTTCAAAGTCCTCGTAATTCCTTCCATTTCATTTTTGTTGTACTGTTTTTTATTGATCCTTGTTGCGAAAGATATATATACATATATTTATTGATTATTTCTTTATATTTTTCTCTTCCCTTCTTCTTACGCTTTTTATTTTTGTAACTGAAATTTTTTTAATTCAATTTAACAGCTTATCTATGACAATTCATTGTAATTTTCATCAATTATTTCTTCAAGTCATTGCTAAATTCATTGTAATTTCATGAATCATTTTGTCTCGGTCTTAGTAAATTGATCAATAGTTGAATTCTTCCATGTAAAATCTAACAAATTAATTGAACGAAATATGTATTTCTGAAAATTTTGCTGTCAAGCTGATATGATCTTTACAGGAACATCTATGATAATTTGACTAACAGACGATGAGATAGCTGATAATGTAAGCTATGTTTGTTCTAACATTTTAACTAATCGGACATTTCTGGTGATCATTACACAATTAACCACTATACTAATTATTTTTCTGATGACCACTATATTAAATTTTAACATAGCGAAATTATTATGTTAAAATTTTAAACCATCCAATCTACGGTATTTTGCACGCCTAAAATTGTGGGTCATGTTGTCCAAGATATTCATAACATACAAACAAAATGTGGTAATTTAAAATTGAGCCTCATTTCATATTATTCTTTCTTGCTATAATCAATAATAGCACGGCTAATGTTTATTTTAATTATTAGCTGTAATTAATAATGAGTGGATGTGACGTGCAATTTTTTCTCAACTAAAAACAACGGCAACAATTGAATCACAGCGAATAACAATAATTGAAATTAGGTAGGATTTCAATTTGAATTCGATTAAATCTTAATTCTTCAAACATCAAATTTCACTTGCAACTATAAAATGATAAGTGAAAATTGGAGTTTCTCCAAACATTTCTTCAGTGATTTTTGCTAGGTGATATGAAGTAAGATAAGAACTTATCATTCAACCGGAAAGCACTAAGTGAGTACCCCTCTTTTGACAATAATTCACAATATTAATTATTTTTTGTTAATGAATTAATTGAGGACATAAAACTTTCAGTACAGTATGATTGAAGTTTTAATATATTTCAACTTTTGATTGTACCTAGTAGCTGTTAACAAATAATTCACCTGTAATAATAATTCTGTATTATGAAATCAAATAACTGAATTAAAATATCATATTTCGAAATATGTTCCAGCTGAATTAAAATATCTCATCGCATTTTGAAATATGTTCCGGCTGAATTAAAATATCTCATCGCATTTCGAAATATGTTCCGGTTTAGTATACTATATTTATTAAAATTCAAAGTCATATCGTTCGCAAATTTTAGCTAATTTATGGAAAATTTCGATTCCAAAATAGAGAGTGTGAAATTTCATTTACATCCATTTGCATGTTGCATTTTCTCTATTCCTCAAAATCTTTTCTAAACAGTTTTCCATGTTGGTAAGATTATTTCATTCGTAAGTGTTCACATAATTCACTTCAACTGATGTTTTCATTCAAAATTTTTCCTTTGCTAATTTTGATACTCAATTCAAGCAGCTCTACAACATTCGGGAATTGGAGACAGCAATGTTGCCAGTAAGTTATCATTAACAGTAAAATTCCATTAAGAGAAAAAATGAAATGCCTGTGACAGATAGATTTTTTTGCAAAATTTTTGAAACAAATATCATTTGCTAATTGCTTCAAAATTTCACAGTTTCGTAATATTTTGATAAACTTTTTGAAACTTTCCCATAAATATTTGTATTGCACGATTAGATGCCAAATGCACTCGTACCGTAATCGTGTACACAATTTGTGCACGTAACCTTAAATGATTTCGCGCACGTAACCTAAAAAAATTCAGGTACTTCTTTTAATACTATATGAGTAATCCTTTTATTTTTCTATAGATGAACATTTAATCATTTAGGATTAAAAATATTCAGATTATAAAAAATTACAATTTCATTAATAAAACTTTTAACACAATAATTGGTATGAACTTTAATACTTAAAAATACTTAAAAATGTATACTTAAGACTTAAACTTAAAAAAAATTTAATACTTAAAAATTTGATTTTTCTTCTGAAAAGACTAAAAAAACACGCATATTTATTTGTCTTTTTTTTGCAAAAATTCCATTATTTTAATATTTATAAAAATTTTCACAAATTTCAGATTCATTTGTTGTGCATGTAAAAATATTTGTGGTTCAAGTGAAAATAGTCGTAATGTATTGGCTAGCGGTAGAAATGAAATAGATGGACCATCATCGTACACGCATTCATATTTTCAAAATTCTCAATCCTATAAAATACCATCCAATAATTTCAATACTATCCCGTATACAATCGATGAACGAGATACTTTGGTACCAATGGTACCATTGCTACCGAATGATGAAAAAAAAAATATTGATCATGAAAGTATCAAAGCACATAATCCGCAATCATCATTACCAGCACCAGTTAATCAATATGCTATTGATCGAATTATGCAGGAAAACAATTTGCAAAAATCAACTTTTGAGCGGCCAACTGGTGAATTGGATACGATTGGTGAAATTTCAACAATTCCTATCCCTTATACTACTATTGCTGCTGCTACTACTACTGCTATAGCAAATTTTGATTACGATGATAGCAAAAATTATTTATCTACCAATCAGATTAATGCAAAGAAGAATACAGGTAAGATTGATAATTCGGGTGAATGTGATAATCCATGCGATGAACTGCCTGATTATTCATCTAATTTTTCTGGAACACAACCTGAAACAACATCACCGGCAGATTATGATGAATTTGGAAAATCAGAACAAGAAGAAAAGAAAGATTATTACGATGAAGTAGAGGATGAACGAAATATTCCCATTGCTTTTTCATCGTATCCAACATTAAAAAAGCAATCGATGGATATCATTCCGAAAAAATCTTGTCAATTTTGCAACAATAGCAATTTAAAAGAAGCAAAATTATTGCACTATAACGTTCAGGAACAATTAGCATCAATTCCGATGAAACAAAATTATCAAAAAGCCAACATTCTGAAATCAAAATCTGGATTGAATATTTCTGCTAATAATATCTTCAAATTGCTTAACAATGCTAACAGTAGCAATGTTGGAATAGAAGGACAAAAAAATTTAGCGCAACTACAACCTCATGAACAATCTACAGCTACGAATTCATACGAGAAATTTGCACATCGATTGACAAATTACAATAGTTTATTTCAAATAAATTCACCAATAAAAGAGCTAAATGCTACAGGTCAATCGAATGTATCACAATTCTCGTCGTTAACATCCACCAAAAAACCCAACAATAAAAGTGCAAATTTCTCAATAAAATCATTTAAATTAATAAATGTGAAAGCGCTAAAAAATACATCCGCTAATGAGCAATTAAATATTCCAAGCAATGATAATTGGAAACAAAATTTATCATTGAAATCATTTGTTAAGCAACGAAATATTTCAGCTCAAATTAACAATGAATTATCAAAATTACAACGAATTATTAGAAATAATGGTGTATTAACAACAACAGCAACAGCAACAACAACAACAACAGCTAATAATTTACAATTTTGGAATATACGTAAGAAACCGAAACAGACGAAATTTATCAATGGTTTTTCTTATCACAAACAAAAAAAACCTAAAATTATTGATATGCGAAATAAATTTCGTAATGCACCGATACTTCAAATGCAACGTCACATTTGGCCAAATATGATCATCACTGAAAAAGAGAGGAAGAAATTAACGAAACCTCCACCTACACTAATCACCACCACCACCACCACCACCACCATACCATTATCAGTTATCAACAATACATTATCACCTCTTAATTCATCCATCGAACAGCAGCAAATTTTGATAAGAAAAATCAAAACAAAACGACCGATTCGAGCGAGAAGAGTGAAAATTTTTGATGTTAATATTTTTAAATCAGATAAAATGCCTTCACTTTTGGATTTGTATTGAAAAAATTTTTTTTAAGAATACAATATTAATGATTAGATTATCTGATATATTTATTAATTCTATTATGATTTGTACTATATTTAGAAATTGACATTTAGCAGCTAAATGATCTCTTGAAATTGTGCGCATTTTTTTCGTTTTCATTTATATTTCTAGTAAAAATTATTTTATTTATTTATTTTTCTCAAACATTCTTTTGTAAATAAACATTTCGAATATGCATTTTGCATTGAAATATTTTGGTATTTTAGTATAATGCTTGCATTTGTAAATGAATTTGTTGAATGTTTCCAAAATTGTATGATTGATGTCATTGAATAATGATCACATATAGCAATTAATTATTTTACTCCAAAAATTTTTTTAAACATGAATGTTATAAGCATTAATTTATTTGGATGAATTGGATAACAGTTTGTAAGGTGAGAGGAATAAATTAAGATTGAATTAGTGGAGTTGATAAATTCTTGAATTCTGCTTAATTTGTGCTGATTTCAATTGTAAATACAAATTTTAAAATAGCTTAAAGAAGTATAAACGATTCAGTAAATGGATTTTGTTCCAATTTCATATTTTGTAACATTTTTTATGCAGTTTGTAAAAAAAAAAAATTCTTTCAACTCTCATTTTCTTCTTCCTTTCTCATTTGTATGAGTTTAGTAAATAGACGAAAAATATTTATTCAAATTTTATATTAAGAAAATATAAAATATTCATTGTTTTATTTTTTTAAAAAATAAAAAAAAAGAAGCAGAAAAAAGATAGTTGAGGTAATAAAGCGAGAAAGAATTGGGAGGAGAGAAAAGAAAGAATGGGAGGGTGTGGAGGAGAACTCTCGGGAAAATATTGAGGAAGCGGGGAAAAGTATACAAATTATTTCTTAAATCACTCTCGGGAAAATATTGAGGAAAAGGGGAAAGTATGCAAATTATATTTATTAGATCACTGTAATATCATCGAAGAAAAGAAAAATGCCAAAAGCGACATAAATCATTATAGTATCATATTTGCTAGGCGCAATTTGAAATTCTCTTCATTTGCCGCAACCGCCACAGCAGCAACAATTGCCCCTGCAAAAAGGTATTTAATTATAGCTTATATACATAGCTATTGATTTTTGAACAGGTAAATATGATACACTCATTAATATCATTCAAGCATCTCTTTTTCCTATTCTTTAAAGTATTTAGTAAAGTTAATAAAAATTTATTGAGTATCAAATAAACTAATAATGAATAATAATTGAAAAGTTAAATATTAATTTATCATTTAAGGAAAGAAATTTGCCAATTGAATGTAATTAAATTCAAATAATAACATTATCTTTGAAAATGTATTGGAATATTGAAGAAATGTTTAAGAAAAAGCAAAAAAAAAAAAATGAATGTTAAAAAAGTGAACGTGTTAAAATGATTAAAAAGCACACATACCCGCCACCAAAAAATATTGCATGTGTATTTACAATTACAAAAATTAGCAGAATAAGCATATATCGAACATCGAAAATAACAGATAGCATCATTTGCGCTTCCTTTGATTGATGTGAAATTTTGATTTTGACAAATGAATGAATGATAATGAATTTTCTGACCAATTTGGTAACTTATTTAAAGTAAACGCATAATAGGCGGAGAATCAAACAAATCACACCCTTCAAAAATTTCATGTAATAATTACTGCTAATACTTTTTAATAATTCGATCAAAATCTTTTCAACCAAATGATTTGAAAATAGAAAATTTCATCCTTTCACTAATTTCATCATAAAGTTTGATTAATATGTAAATTTGAACTTCAGTTGATAGATTTTTGACAATAATATTATGATTAATACGAATTATTCACATAAAAATTCAAGTATTAATGAAATACAAGGAAGAGAGAGAGAGAGAGAGAGAGAGAAAGAGAAATGATATTTTCATATAATATAATATTATCTGTTATATTTCAATGACAGTAATTCATTTTAAACTCAATCTCACAAATTAATGAATGAATTAAATTTTTAAGAGCATTTCAATACTTATTTTTCCTCTCTCTCTCTCTCTCTCTCTCTCCTCTTTCATTAATCAGAGATCAAATATGAGATCAAATAGGAATTTCTTCATTTCTGATTAATGAATGGTTATCCGGATATCAAAATCCGTATCTGAATTCATTCAGGATATGCGCTTAAAATTGTCACTTCTGTTAAGCTTCTAAGAATGGAATATGCATGAAAGGATATTTAAAATTAAGCAAAGATGAAAGTCCAATTGAAAAATAACCATCACGTCAAATTTTTTTTTTTTTTTTGGTATGAGAGAAACATTAGAATTTATTTATAATAATCAATGAATTCATGAAGTGTAATTTTTAATAATCAAAGAATCAATTTCAATATTTTACTCAATGTACGATAAAATTTTACTGAATTGCAGACTTCTTTAACACATTCAGACAAGAACTTAAGCAACGTTGGATTCTGCTTATATCCACAACTGTTTATTTCAATCCGATAATTAAATTACAGTAAAAAAATCTCAAATCTAAATTCAATTTTTTTTTAAAATTTAATTTCCCATTTTTTCATTAAAATTAATTGAACAAAAAAAATAAAGCGAGAAAGAATTGGGTAGAGGGAAAATTAAGAATGGAGAGAGAGAGGATTTCATTTAGATAAACAATGATAAGCAATCATTTTATCATATATGAATCTAGCAATGTAAAAGCTTAACCAACGATAACCATTGATAACCGATATGATTATGTGTGAATTTAAAAGAGTTCAGTTACAGTTCAGAGTTCAATTTTTTTGTAAAAGCTTAGTCAATTAATTATCAATCGATTAATGAAAACTTTTTTCATTAACAATTTTATTTGTCTCAATTTATCACCCAGAAAAAGGAATTATGAGTGATAATCGGATGATATTCCTCTTTTACGAGCAGCAGGTTTTGCATATTATAAGTTTTTATAAAATCAGAATGATAAGATGATATCGATTGTTGTAATTCAGTAAACCTTTTAAATACTTCATCTCTTACATCCTGTTTTTTAATATCACAAAATCGTTCTTAACGTATTTTATAGTTACGAAAGAGTTATATTAATCGGTTAATTAAATTTTGCGAAATATGAAATTTGGATAAAGAGAATTTGAAAAATTGAGGAAATATGTTACGCACAAATAAACAACCTCATTTCAAATGCATTTTATTAGGTATTATTTGAGGATAACAATGAAAAATGAGAATTATGAAATACATTTAATGAGGACAGTATAAAACGAATCAAAAAAAAAAAAAGAAATTGTAACGATGCAAAAGATGGAATTAATTAAAAATTTTCGTTCTTCGACTGCAACTTCTATATCTTTTAAGATATTTTAATTTCTCAATTTCAGTAAAAGAATCAATAAAAGAGGCAAGAAAAAAGAATGTGTATTTATTTCATTATACTAAACAAGAAATGAATGAACAAAGATAAATGATAACAGCTAGTAACATTATGTTAAAATTCAAATATTTTAATTTGAATCAGTTAAAATTTGTTTCTAAATGCCTAGAATGCATGAAATTGTCATCGCTATCATTTGAAAAAAAGGTTATCACTTGAGATGAGCAAATTGCTATCGTACGACGATGAAAAATTAAGCTATTGAAAGGGAAATAATCTATTGTAATGCTCAATGAAGTCATTTGGATAAATTAGAAAATTACGAAATTTGAATTTGGAGAAATTTCAAATATGAAATAGACTTCAAATTTGAATTAAACTTGAAAATTTTGCTAAACTAAACTTTGATACCTTCTTGTAATAATCATTTTTTACTACAAGCAGCAAAACGTTTTTCCAATCTGTTTTGATGAATTTTTACTTATAATAATTATCAGAACATTTTGCATGATTGATATCAGAATTTATTTTCTTCATTCAATCAAAGTATCTAAATATTCTCTTGATTGGTTGTAAAATTTTTCTCATGCTTTTCAAACCTCAATATCTATTAATGCAGATCAAAAGTGCATCGTTTCATTCATCATCTCAATTCATTCACTATTTTTCTTAATTTCGAAAATTTCATGAAAATTTAAAATTATTAAAATTTAAATTTATTCATATGTTATAAGAAGCATCATTAAATGAAACCTTGCAACTTTCTCTTCTTATTTTGAAAATATAATTGATGAAAGTGGAATTTTAATTATTTTCGATTTTAAAACAAAATGATTCAGTGAGATGTTGTATGGATTTAATAGCATTTTTTTTTTTAAATCGTTTTATCACATTTTCATTCAAATTGGGAATGTATATTTTATATATGAAACAGGAAGGAATAGGTGAATGATGGAGAATAAATGAAAATCAAGGATTGAAAAAAAAAATTAAATTCAAGATAAACATTTCCTCTCTAATTCCAACGATGTTTCAGCAAATGATTTGAACATATGTTTCTCACAATGTTTCTCTTGTTGAAATACATAATTGAATTGAAGAATTGAAAAGATTTGAAGAAATATTCAATGACAGATATCACTTTGATTTATGTACCATCGATATAATAATTTATAATTGAATTCAAACTATTCTTGTTACCATATTAAAATTACAAACAAGTTTGAAATGTAAATATTTGTTAATTCATTGAAATTAAAAATATTGTTATGATTAATAATTAAAATGAATTAAATTTGCCATTAATGTAAAAGTTTTATTGGAATCAAATAGATTTCACATTTCATTAAATTAATTAGAATTTAAAAATGATCCCAAATCGACAAGGGATTTGTAGTTATTCTGGAACATGGAAATTATTTAATCCATGAAAATATGAAATTAAATAAAATAAAAAGGAAAACGAAAAGAAAAAACTGAAAAACAAAAGTGGAAAAAAGCTTAGGATTAATTTTAATGGTTCAAAATTTTGAAAAATGTGAAATTTTTTGAATTTGTCATTTGCAAGTTTACATTAACCTTAATTTGCTACATGGGAAAATATACGGCATATTTCTGATTGTTGGAGGAATTTGTTTAAGAATTAATTGATGTGATAATTAAGCAAAGTTTAATTGTGTAATTAATAACATTTTCCTTCCTTCAAAAATTTAGAAAGTTTTCGAATAATTCAAACGGTTTTTTCTTTCTCTTCATGAATGTTCATTTATATTTCATTCATCTTTGCAGGAAACAACTGATAATCCAAAACGAATTTCAATTTCTTTGATAAACTTTTTTACGTATTGTAACAGTTACGAATAAAGCATCAAAAATTATTCATTGTAAAAATTGAGAAGGATTGAAAAACATAAACCAATTCAAAACGAAATTTCTGGAAACTATTATTCTCAAACGATTCATTTCCTCAAGAAAATTTCGAGCAGTTTTACAAGATGTAGTATACAGTTATTATGATTGATTTTAAAGTAGAAATAACAAATAATAAAATAAAGTAGTAGAATCAACAACGAGAAAATATGGTAGACAATTTTAATAAATTTAAAATTTATTTTTTTTTTCGATGACATTTCATCTTCCACATTACCCCCTAAAATGAACTTAGTTTATTCTCAATTTAGTCATTCCAAAATTTTGAATTTTTTAAATTTGTTATCAAAATCTTACTTTTCATTACAAAATGAAAAATTAACAGTATGATTTAAGTTTAATCATTTATTTGCATTCGTTATGGATATAAAAGTAAAAATTGTTTAGCGATATAAGCTATCTACAAACAAACGCAATAAGAAAATTCATTCAAATTTTATCCATTAATTCAATAAAAAAATTAAATCAATCAGGTCAAATCAATCAATCAATAACAAAACAAATATCTGCTCGAATTTACATTTCTTTAATAAAATTCTTTTTGTTTGCTGTATACAAACAGATACAGTATGTGCAAACAAAAAAAGTACACAGAAAAATAAATTCTTGTGTACCACGAATAATTTAAAATTTTTCACTTAATTTTTTTTTTTTAATCTGGCTCTCACATTTAAATTTTTCATTTAATTTCGATAAAATACACAAAAAATGCCATAATTATATTTTTTAAATGGAAATTGCTCAATCAATTTTCAGGAGAAATGGTGAAATAAACAAGAATGGTATGCATAATAATAACTGAATGGACAGAAATTGCATGCATAATAAAAGCGGTAACTTAAAAGAAATTGCTATAACTTCTGGAAATGGATGCAAAATAGAAAGGTAAAAAGATGATAGATCAATCATATTTTTCAGCTAATCTTTGCAACCGGTTTTTTTTTTTTGATCAAGAGAAGACTGATCGGACCTTGCGAATAGATAAATGAAGTACTAAAAGAATTACTGCGTAAGCAATTAATACCAAAAATGCGGAAAGATAAAGGTGAAAAAAAAAAAAATTATTTTTTTTCTGCTTCATCCGATACTCTCACGATTTCAAATAGCGCCGCTTTGTTTACCATCCAAAAACTTTTTGATATTGTTCTAAGCAATTATATTTCACTTCTTCTATCATTTTTGCTATCATCAATTATCGGCTATTGCTAATATTCCATCTGCTCAATTCATCATTTTTAATAACACAAATTATTGTATATCTTTAATATATATCCAAAAGATTCATTTTTTTTTCCCCAGATGGATTGATTACTTTTGTCCGTTCCGCAACAACAATCGAGCACTGTAACAACAATGACAACAATGATTGCAAATGGAAATAATTGAGAAAGTTTAAGTGAAATGGAATTTACTGATGACTGAAAGAATTAGAATTCCGGAATGGAATTGAAAGGCATTTCTACGGAATATCTTTCATTTCCTTATGGAAGTGAAAATTTTGAAATACAAAAATTGATTTTATAGTGCTAGTGAAAGGTACAAAAAAATTTGTTAGCTGTTACCGCATCTTTTACCGCAATAAAATTAATTTTCGTGCAAAATTTTTCCACTAATTCAATTCTTAACATTTTACAATATAAAGTTTTTAAATAATTAAAGAAATTTAAACGTGCAAAATTGAAGATATTAGAATGTTCGATTGCACGTAGATTCTTTGATCATTTAATATATATGAAAAATTTTAACTGATTTAAACTCTTCTATTTCAATTCTTCACGAAATTAATTTCTAATTCAATTCTCAACACTTTATATTGCAAAGTCTTTAAATAATTAAAGAAGTTTAAACGTGCAAAATTAAAGATGTTAAAATTTTTGATTGCTTTAATCGATCATTTATTATACATGAAAGGTTTAAAAACTGATTTAATGCCTAATTAATTCGAAAATGATGAAAAAGGAGTTAAGACGACATGGATTTAGAAATATCTCATCGATCGAACCATTTGCGTCCTTTTGATGACATATTTTTGCAATATTGTCACCATAAAAGGAAAACAATTTACAGGAGAAAGAGAAAGAGGAAATTTTTTTCAAATTTTATGGCACCACAATAAGAATAGTTTTTTTTTTTTGAAACAATTTTATAAATATCTTCTGCTTGCTAAATCTCTTTTATCTATTCATAAATTAGCACCTATGATTCCATTTCTCACTTCTTAACGAAATATTCCATATTTCTTTAATTATTAAAATGACAGAAATATGCTTCAGTGCTGTTAGTGATGTTCCAAAAGATAAAGTTGTTCATTTCCGCACTTAACTGCTGCTCTTGCGTTCCGTCATTCCGTCACCTTTATCGCTGACATTTGCCATTTTTTTCCAGACTAAAATTTTTCACCCTATGATAAAGTTGAGAGGAAAAAAAAAGGGAAAGAAATAAGAAATTTTAACATATATGACAAGACGCATATCAATCAGTATCTCTCTAATCTTAAAAGTATTCAAATATGTATGTTAGAGTTTAAAATGGTATTTTTTAAAAAAAAAAAAGCCACATAATTCCTAATTGAGGATTTAATCAATTAACATTATATCAGGTGTTATTATATAAATAATTGCATAGCTTATTCAGGTTAATTTTCCTAAATGTTTCTCTCATTAATAGGAAGCGAAAAGATAATTTATTTTGTTTTTTTTTTTGTTTGTGTGTAGTTTTTCTGTTTTGAATTTATCAGTATTGATATATTGATGATGATTGGGAAAGAAACAAGCAGAATATGGGAAATATTAAATAACAATTATTTCAGCAAAGAATGCAACAACAAGAAAGATTGAATTCTTAGAAGCATTGTGGATTTAACCCGTTCATGAACAATAGAGAAAAAAAAAATATTATTAAAGCTAGTAAAGCATTCATTCATTCATCCAATTCATCCATTTATCAATGCGATACACCGTTGCACATATATAATCGCACTTCATGGTGCACTTTTTGACATCTCTTTTAGCGCTAACAAATAAATGATCGACTAGCTTCAGTGGAAATTTTGATTGTTTTGACTGAAATTTTAACTCTTTGCTATATAGATATGAAATAGTTTGAGAGGATTATTTAATAGGCTTCTCTTTTTTTTTTTTTTGGATTCATTCAAATTATTGAAAAAATTTCACTATTTCAAAATATCTATAATTTGGTAAAATATCTATAATTAGAATAAGGTCAAATAGATAGGATGAGAAAGTGAAAGTGATATGGAGGTCAATATCAGAGATAATTTTCAGGTTCCGATAAATCATGAATAGAATTCATCAGATTATCATACTCCTAATTGTTATCAACGAAGTAAAGGGATTATTTTTCTTTTGGAGGTTTGTTCATTTCATGTATTCATGTTGGAAATTAGGTATAGGTTTAGTTTTGAAAACATTTTTGAAACTATGGAAATTTCGAATTTTGTAAAATCCGCTTCTACTTAAAAATCTTTGAAAAAATTTTAAATGATGCTATTTCTATCAGTTTTAGATGTTATTATAGGCCATGTTGTTGCTGCTGTTGCAAAAGTTGCTGTTGTGCTGGTGGTGGCTGCGGTGGAGGTAGCGGAGGTGGTTGCGGTGGAGGTGGTTGCGGTGGAGGTGGTTGCGGTGGGTGTGGTGGAGGCGGTTGCGGTGGAGGTGGTGGTAGCGGTGGCGGTGGTTGCGGTGCAGGAGGTGGTGGGGGTGGTGGTGGTTGCGGTGGAGGAGGTGGTAGCAGTGACGGTGGTCGCGGTGGAGGAGGTGATAGAGGTGATAATAGTGGTGGTGGCTACGGTGGAAATGGTGAAAGAGGATTTGGTGGTGATGGTGGTATAGGGAAAAGTAAGAAAAGCAAAATCCATGGTGACAAAGGTACTGGCGAAAGAGGTACTGTCTTTTAAACTTTTACTATTTTCGTTAAATACTTTCATAGAATTATCATTCTCCCAAATTTTTACATTTAAATGAACTATAAGAACCAAATTTTTGAACTGTTTTAGAGTTTGTAAGATGATATGAATCAGTAAAAGTACCTGTAAATCTTCTATTTCTAGCAATCAAAAATAAAAATTAATAATGGATAATATTCATGAATGTTTCAAGACTAAAGTCTTTTTTCCCCTCCCCAATTACTGATAATTTAGTATGACAAAAAAAAGTTAGGTAAAATGTGAAACAACTTTTCATGCTAATTTATTTTAATAATTCTTAATTTTTAGAATTTAGCATTCGATTGAGGAAGCGCTCAAACGATATGAAACCTGAATGGAAAAATAATCAAATTGATGATGATGATGATGGCTTTAGTGATAACAGTGATACAAACGGTAGGAGTAACCGAAATGGCATTGGCTATGTCCACAATGATAATGATAATGGCATTAGCAATATCATTATCAACAAGAAGAAGAGAGCAATGATTGCAAACTACAGTACTATTGCTTTGGGAGTTTAATATTATCAGCTTGTAGAATATTGATTTTAGTTTTTAAAAAGCGTACAGCGCATATATTTGCTTTGGTTAAAACAGAAAAAAAAAAAGAAGTATTAGTATTAGTCAACAATAAACATATTATCATTCATCATCAAATAATGTTTAATTATCTTGAACTTCGAGGAACAACAAAAATAGAATTTAAAAATGTGAAAAATTATTTAATTTTATTTTAAAGAATTGTAAACTTCAATTTCCGATGTAAATGTTTACATATATCATTAGTAATTTATGCATTATTTCGCAGAAGTCTTTAAAAATATATCTTTCTTTGATCATAAAATAACACAATAAAGCGTATGTATATTCATTACAATAATAAGCATCTTTTAAATTTCTATAATTCATTTTTGCCTAATTACATTAATTTTTGATGTTTATAATTTTTCAATTGCTAAATTTTGCTGCCTATATCGACATTTATCTCTTATCGTCTTTAACTTCGTATTTTCAGAAATTTAGGATTAGAATAATGATGAATTTCATTTATACATGAAAATTGGAAACCGGAAGATATATCCGACAATTTGTAAGCATATTGTTTATTGTAAAATTGAGTGTATTGTATTAAAAATAATAAAGAATGGAAAATAACGAGAAGTATTAGAAGTTTGATTGTCATCCTTTTCTTTTTTTTTTTTTTTTTTGAAGGAAATCAGAGTGCTGAGCAATGGTGAATTTTAGTTAATTTCATATTTTATTTTATCCTTACGCAGATTTTATTTCATTTTAGAATTGGAAATACAAGTAATAAATTGATTGTGAAACTTCTTTTTTAATAGTAGGGGTCAAGGATCATAGCCATCTCTCCTTCAATATAAAGATCAAAATTTGTGAGAATTGCTCTGTGTAGATGTACATATATGCAGAGATGGAAAAACAAAATTGGATCGATTATTCGTACAACAAATGAAAACTGAAAATTTGAAAATGGCCAGTTTTATTGATTTTAAAAAACATTGTACTGAAATTGAAACTTTAAAAAGTTACATACATTTTATTTTTCCAAAANAAAAAAAAAAAAAAAAATGGATAACTTATTTCATCCATCGTTCATCTTATTTCCTGCCGGATAACAAATATGTAATAACTATCACCATAATAATTGCAATCAAATTCAAAATCAATACACCTTTGATATAAAAAGATATAGCCTTTTTTTTTTATATATTTCAAAGTTCAAGAATAAGTCTTACTCATTCTCGATTTAATCTATTCTTTTCATTACAATCAACTTAAAAGGTGAACTTTATTTGTGCTCATTATTTCTAAACTGTGTTCATAAACTATTATAATTTTACAGACTGTTGCAAACATTTATCTGTAAAATTATAATAGTTTGTTAATACAATTTAGAAAGCATTTCAGAATTGAAATGCTAACGTCAAAACAAAGCCGAAATTGCAAATTTGATAACTGCTAAAAAATTAATAATTTTGTAACAAAGTTTTTGCTTCTCTTATGTTAGGACTATAAAACGGAATTTACTAAAAGTAAAATATTTTTTTCAATTCTAGCAAACTGGTTTTAATGGATATAAATCAGAATTTATTGAAATGTACATCATGAAGTTGAAATTAAAGTAGCAAAAAAAAAAAACGCTAGGAATGTTTTACTGTTTCCAAAATCATTAAAATGTGTTAATCATAAACTTCCAGAAGTTTACATATTAAAAATCTGAATGATTCATAATTTGTACTGGTAAATATTTTATTACCGCTTACAACATGAAAATGTTCAAAAACACAGGGAATGATCCTTGAGAAAACAAGAGCAACGGCGATGGAACTAAAGACTGTGAATTTTGCTGGAAAGGTCAGAGGTTAGAGCAAATGACCACAAAGCTCTAATCAATGTCCCCAACTAGCTGAGCGATAAATAAACATTAATGTTTCCAGTAAACAATATGTGCCATTTGGCGATATTTTACAGAGAATAAAATTTTTAAATAAACAAAAGTTTTTTTTTTCTCATCAATTAAAAGCTTTTTTTTTCCATCAATTAAATGATGGAACATTTACATCTGGAAGTTTTTGCAAAACTTTTTAGAAAGTTTACAAAATTTAACCTTAATTATTAATTAAATTCATATAAAATTTAATTTACTTGATTGGATTTTAACTAATTTAACATAACTGAGATTTAGTTTTGCCGAACTTGAATAAAATTTTTAAAAATTCATTAAATTTGAAAACAAAAATATGCGCTGAAGAAATAATCCAAAATTATGCATGAAATGGAATAGCGAATATATAAATTCATACAATTATTCTTAATTACATTTAATTGTTATAAATTTTAAGCAAATGAGTGACCGCTAATGACCAAATTTTTCTCCTCTCAAATTAAATATGCTCTCGCCGAGGCAAATTTAAGTTATTTCTCTTTCTTGAACAAGTAGAAGAAGTTCAAAATATTCTCAAAAAGCATTTCCTACCTTTTTATATTTTTATCAGCAATGCTATCAATTCCACGTAGTAATTTTATTAATGAATTATTTTTGATAAATATGATAAATAAACGTTGAGCAATTTTGGAAAATACGAATAAATAGAAATAATCAGTCTTCTTCTTCTTTCATTTTTCATTTAAATTTACCTTTTTTTTCTCATTTCTTATCATTTTCAATTAGTTAAATGATTGTTGAGCTGGCTAAGTGAAAAATTTTGGCTTAATCTTATTAAAATTTTGGATTTTTTTCTTTTTTGGAAGCTTGATCTCATCGGAGTTCAAGTCTTATTTTAGCAATGTAACAAGTATATTAAATCATAATATTTAGCATATCAAATGTTTAGCACATTATTTAGCATATAATAGTTCACTTGATGAAATAATATTCAATAAAATATCATTAAATCATTGGATGGTATGGTAGCTTTAATGATAACACCAATATATTTAACTATCATCTGATTGATAATGACTATTTGTCAAATTCTAGTAGCATATAATATATCATCGAATTTGAAAACTTTGAAAAACTAATTGAAATTGATCACTTGGTTCGATTTTCTGCTAATTACCTGCTAAAAATCAATTTTCCAAATTAGATAATATAGAATAATAATTTACGAATGATCATAATAATATCGTATTGGCTGTAATTTTCCCAAATGATATGGAATGGAGTTTCTTAACAGAGAAGTCAGCAGTAGGTGGTAATACGATACGAATTATGCACAATACGATACTTTTTTGTCCTTCAATTTAATTGGAAATATTTTTTCTTTAAAGTTTTCTCTAATTTGGAAAACTTCTTTTTTAAATGTTAGTTTAAAAAAAAAAAAAAAAAATTACATTCTTCAATTTGCTATTTGGCAATTTACACATCTGGCCAATATTCCTATATTTCATGCCAATACTTTGAAGAGAAGTATCCGCTTATCTATATAATGACGATGAACTTAAGAAAGTCATTATTCTCTCCCACTAAAAGCAGTAGATGTTTTACCTGAATTTACAATTTCAAATTTTTGCTAATTTTTTTTTTTTCGAAGTACCGATAGTGTGATTTGAGTTAGTTAAATGGAGTGGCATAAGACTAGGTAATCCATAAATATTTTGCTAGGATTATCTATTTGACCTCAACACCGCCTATTTGTTGGATCTATCGTCAACAGTAGGAAATATTAAGTACATCAAATAATATTATCAAAATCTATTTCCCTCTTTGTGTTTTCTTTTTCCTTTTATTAAGAATAAGAAACCATCTAATGTTAAAATAAAATCATTCTAATCATCTTTGTTCATTAATTAAAGATCACAATTCTAAATTCTCTTATACTTTTCTAAATGTTTCACCTGTAAAATTTATTGAATTCCTGCAAAACCTATCATTTTTACATCATTTTCCTCTTTACACATAACAGTTGTAATTTTTGCGATTGTCTTCGGATTAGCATTTTGCTACTCTGGCTTTTTCAATCCTCCATTCTATTGATGCTTTTTGAGGAATCAGTAGTAATTAAGATTGGTTTATTGAACAGTAAATATTTAGCATTTCAAAAACAACAAAAACATTATTTTTTATTGCTAAAAAGAATAAATTTTTTAAAAGTCTACAAAAAAATTCACAGAGAAAGATATGTTATGATGAAAATAGTATATTATCTTTCTTTCAAATATTAACTCTTCTGTTGCATATGTATATGAAATTTAACAGCTGGCACATTTTCCACTGATGATGTAACTAAGCAAGTAATACCGAGATTATACAGTGCACCCCTGCAAAATAATATACAGTAAACTCCTAAAGTAAAACATCAAAACAAATAATTTTCAAA